TACCGGGGCTTGGTACCAGACGTTCCCGTTTGAATTATTTTTCGCCGGTCAACATGTACCGTTAAGTTAAAATCTTCCGGACAACCTTTGAAAAGTGCCGGTCAGAGGTCTTCTTTGTTATTTATTGAGCTTTAAAACAAACTAATTATAGTAGATTAACTACATTATTCAAAGAACAGTAACTTACAATAACACGGGAATAATAAACGGAGCGCTCTCTCCCTCTCCTGACAGCCCGTCAGTCTCATGCAGCTCGCGGTTCAGTAATGAGTGACCCGACAGTAAAACTAAACATATCTATAACTAGTTACGGTAGTTTGAGAGGTAATTAAAATAGCTACGAGTGATATTCTAACCTGAAGTGTGGGTTTGCTCCGCTCACCGCTGCATGTGATCATGCAGAGCTGCGTGTCGACTCGTCAGCAGCAGCTGATCTCTCTCTCCCGTCAGATTAAACTTCACTCGCGTTTATGTCCATATCGATCAGATCCAGCTAGTTCTAGCTAATGATATGACTACCTGCTTATTAAAAGACATCTAAGCAATAAGTGTCGCTATGCAACTGGGTGAGGCCGCAAAGTATAGCGCAGCATTATGCATTTATTTACATGCCCACCGGAACCCCGAGGCATTACCAACAGATCAACGCACAATCAACCCATACAGGACATCTCTTTCTCCACATTACGTGTTACACATTAGAATTGACTATTCTTGTCTGTCACATACTCTTCTTGTCTGTCACATAAGTGGCGCAACTGATGCGGTATTGCGCTAAGGGGAAATGATTTTGACCAGGGAGATTTAGATTTGCCGGTCTTCAGCATATTTTACCGGTCATAGTCAGGTAATTACCGGCTAACGGGAACTCTGCTCGGTACCCATCCCTATATTTAACTGAACACTTTCTGAGCCATCTGGTGTATTTATCTTCTGAGGGAGAGTGTATTGATCAGCTTCAACGGTGCCCAGTGGTATATTAATGCTAATAATAATCATTTCTGCAGAGGACAACCAGCCCTACCAGTCGATACCGTGCAACGACCATAAGATCACCAGCGCTGCGTGGGGGCCTCTGGGAGAGTACGTCATCGCAGGACATGAGAACGGAGAGTTCAACCAGTTCAGCGCCAAGGTGGGGAAAACACTTTACTGTGGTTATGTGGCGTAAGCTGCAGGGCAATAACAACAATAATGTTTTGGTTTTTCAGAAAGCACATGTCTTAATATATTGAAGGGCGTAAGAATATAATAATATGTGATTTATAAAGCGCTTTTCCTGGTGCTCAAAGCGCTTTAAATATGAAGCACATTAATGTGAGATTGCAGAAAAAGCTTGGCTGAAATTTGCACCTGGGTTTTTTTTATTGTCGATCTTAAATGTTTGTTGGTGTTTGTGGTCAGGATGGAGAGATCCTGAAGAAGGCCAAGGAGCACACCAAGCAGATCAACGACCTCCAGACGTCATTGGACCTCACCATGTTCATCAGCGCCTCCAAGGACAACACCGCCAAGGTACCGCACTGTTCCCTGAGCTGCATCACAAGCTCTCAGATGCTCAACTTAACGCTGCCTGGTATCACACTTTGTTGTTGAACGCTTGGTGTCATCTTTGTTTCCTCTCAGCTGTTTGACTCCGCTACTATGGATCACATCAAGACCTTTAGGACGGAGAGACCCGTCAACTCTGCTGCCATCTCCCCCATCATGGATCACGTAAGTTATGCTAGATGCAGAGGTAGTGGTGATGGTGCTTTTTTAATTTTCTTTTAGACATACAGTGTAGCTTAAATCTTCTGAAATGTAATTCCATTAATGTTGCAAGCTTTTTTATTGCAGTAAATTGTGCAAAGCCTGTGAGACACGAGTGGCTCCATTAACAAACCCTATAATCATTTTATTATCACTTTGTTATATTGCCTATTAGTCATCCAACAGTTGGATTTGGTGCTGTGATGTTGTCGGCACAGGATGCTGATGTAGGCCTGAAAGTCAAACTGGTTTAAAGGGGACCTATCATGCAAAATGCACTTTGTGATGTCTGTTATACATAAAGATGTGTCCCCGGTGTGTCAGGGAACTCACGCAGCGTCCAGAAATAAAACCCTCTCTCTTTTCCTCCGTACCCAAATCTCTAAAAACGGGGGAACAACGGAGCTGATCCAGATTTGCGTCCGATATGACGTAATATCTGAAATGTGGACCCACGGCCCAATCAGAAACGTTGCTATCAGAAACAATGCCCGACTGTTTTGGACCTAATATGGTCGGTGTTTACATTAGCATCGCTAACACTCAGAGCTAACCTGTACTGGAGAGCATGTGTGTGAAGAAGCAGGAAGTAAAAAGGAACTCACCTTGTGGTATAACCGGCAAGAGAGAAAGCCTTTGAGCTCCAATAATCCTTGATAATCCATGATATGGCGTTTCATCACGGCAGTATTTAGTTTAGACAGTAGCTGCCGGGTCCCGCATGAGCTCAGACCCCTCTTTTTTATTTTCTATCAATATATTTTTTTTTAAAGCTTTATACCCCAAATCAGCACTTTAGAAACAGGAAGTGAAATAGAGGGATATGAGGCATGGCTAGAATGGGTGATCTGTTTGGTGTTTTGAGCAAAACACTTCATAGACATGTTTTTTATTATTTGTATATATCTGAGACCTATATGCTATTGCCTACAGATAGCATGATAGGTCAACTTTAAGCTTTCTACAGATGACTGGCAAAAACGACCCATCCCCTGACGTTGACCATGTTCACGAGAGAAAAAAATTACCGTCACTAACTGTTAACACTGCATGGTGCGTTTGATTCAGGTGGTGATGGGAGGTGGACAGGAGGCCATGGAGGTCACCACGACCTCCACCAGGATCGGAAAGTTTGAGGCCAGGTGAGTTAAAGAATGCCCAAAATTAAAAGTAAATGCATAACGTTTTTGCATTAAAATGTCTAAAAACGACCAGACTTGTATTAAAGAATTTGTAGTGTTATACTTAGCATCCCTAATATTTGTAACCATTATCAAACGTAGAGAAATCTGCTATTTTAAACAAGGTACGTTGTCATAACATTTTATCCAGTTAAAGCCAGATTTAGATTGATTTGTAACTCTGTATTTCACCTGGATGAGAGTTTTAACTCGTCAGTCGTCTGGATACATCACAGAACCGCTGATTTATTTAAGTAAAAAGGTGTTTTTACCGGTTTATCTTCGGGCCCCTTTGTTTTGTAGAGTAAAGTTCTTGCGATTAAATCTACTGTGGTCCCATTTTATTCAGATCGATTCTCTAACCTTGCTTCCCTCTCACCCTCAGGTTCTTCCATGCTTGCTATGAAGAGGAGTTCGGCAGAGTCAAGGGTCATTTCGGACCCATTAACTGTGTGGCGTTCCACCCTGATGGAAAGAGGTGAGAACCAGCCCACTGACTTTAAAGGTCACATATTATGTAAATTCAAGTGTCTCTTCTACATCAACATGTGTCCCCTCTTCTTCATGTCTCTTCTACATCAACATGTGTCCCCTCTTCTTCATGTCTCTTCTACATCAACA